AGTCTATTGCCACCGCTAATTTCAAGCCTTTACCGAGAATGTAAAAAGGGATGTAACCCATATCCAAACCCGGATCAGATCTATCACTCGGGTCCTGGGTCAAGTCTGAGTCTATTGCCACTCGGGTCCCGGGTCAAGTTCGAGTTTATTGCCATTGCTAATTTGAAACCTTTATCGAGAATGTAAAAAGGACCATAACCCAATACTAGTCTCCACCCATATCCAGACCCGGATCAGACCTATCACTCGGGTCCCGGGTCAAATCCGAGTCTAGTGCCACAGTTAATTTCAAGACTTTACCAAGAATGTAAGTCTATTGCCACCGCTAATTTCAAGCTTTTATCGGGAATGTAAAAAGGGTCGTAACCCATAGCCGGACCCAGATCAGATCTATAACTCAGGTCCTGGGGTCAAGTCCGAGTCTATTGCACTTCTAATTTCAAGCCTTTACCAAGAAGGTAAAACGGGTCGTAACCCAATGCTAGTCCCCACCTAAGCAAGTCTCGAGAAGGTGCTAGTCCCGTCGAAGCAAGTCTCGAGAGGGGTGGGCTGGAAATGGTCTTAACTTTTGACTTATGCACAAAGTGGCCGCTCTCAAGACTCGAATCTGAGCTATTGCGCAGGCTACCCTAGCCTTTTTACCGTCCTACCAAATATTAGGCATATATTATGTCATGACGTGAAAATTCTTAATAGGTTTTGCACTATTAAATTGAATTGCCATTCGTGCTAAGTCTTGGGCATGTAAAATTTTAATCCCACTTCAAAACCTTATCGGAAAATGTAGTTCAGCAGCCAAAACTTCAAAATTGCTTATTTTATAACGCTGGAAATTTATTTTTGCCTTTGACTTTAAATTTGAAGCTCAAAAATAAAAAATAGATAGCTTAGCAAAGTGTTACAACAATGCATGGTTTTTAGGGGTTGAAATAGTTTTTTTGTTTTTTTGTTTTTTTGTTTTTTTTTTTTAATTCATAATAGTGGATGATCAATTTGAGAGCTTCCTAGAAGAGACTTTCCTTTAATTTATTCATTGAATGAGCAACAATTTGAGAGCTTCCTAGCAGGGACTTTCCTTTTATTTATTCATTGAATGTGCAATGAGGAAGTAACTCGGTTTTTTTAGAAAGGTAAGTCTCTCCCATTAAATTACTTTTCTACCTTTTGATTATGATTTTTAAATGGGGGCAAGCTTTCTATGCTTTTTCTAGAGCATAGAAGTTCTATCCTCCCCCTTATCCAACCGTCTATTATGAATAGAGGGCTAAGATTGTCCCAATCACAATGTCACGTCTCTACACAATTTTATTTTTAATTTCTTTTCTATAGACTATTTTGACACCAAATTTTGGACGTCCATTCCTTTATTAAACTCGCAGTAACGAAAAATATTAAAAAAATATTTTCAATAAAATAAAATAACCAAAATACCTTTGAAAGATTCAAGGGGTATTTTGGTTATTATATTTTATCAAAAAATTATTTTTAATATTTTTTTAAGTGCGTCTCAATGAGAAGATGACACTTACCCAATTTCATATTCATATAATTTGTATAAAAAAACTAAAAATAAAATACTTTGAGATGTTGGATCTAAGATCAAACGGTGAGTGGCTCTCCTTATCAAAATTGGACAGCTGGATGGTAGGGTGAGGATAGTTCTTCTATGTTGTAGAAGAAGAATAGAAACCTTTCCCTTCAAATGATGCCTGTTATATTAAGTTGCAAAGATTACATAGTTTAAACTTCAAAGCCAATAACTTTTCATTTTTGCACTGTGATTTTTCAAGCAATTCTCATTTCAAAATTGGAATAAGCCCATGAACCACTAGGGACCGATTCTGAATTGACGCAACGATTCGTGAGTTGGATTGTTCAGTGATCCAGATTGAAACCAGTTGATCCAGATCAAGAATCAAAGCCGATCCGTATCGATTCTATGCCTGAAACAATGTCAGAGAAGCGCTTCATGTAATTTTTTAATTTACTTTTTTTTTTTGGTTTGTTAATTTTGTTGAACTTTTGATTTGAAGTGGATAAGTCAACCGGTTCACCTGTTCATGTTTTCATTTATGTTTCAAATATGTTTTATATTTTTATTTGAATTGTCTAAAATATTTTAAAGACTATAAGGGTTGTTGGAGTCTCATTCCATGGTTGACCCATTTATGTTAAGTTCACCCATTTATGTCTCAAATACGGTTTCTATTTTTTATTTGAATTCTCTAAAGTATTTTGAAGACTACAAGAGTGGCGTCGGTCCCACTCCATAGTTGACCATTGCACGTTTGTAATTTACAAACGGTGTGGTTTGTATAGAAACCTTTCAAATAGTTTCAAGAAATGTGGTATCAATATTCGAAATC